CTGTCCCTCCTTGCATTTGGAAGCTCCTTCACACAGCTCTAGGGTGGTTCATTTCAGGCCCCAAACAACCTCTGCCTTTCGCCTGCTGTCCATTCAGGCACAGCACCATGTGCAAGAGATTCAGGAGGCTGAGATTTTATATCTAGCTCTGTGTTATTGTGTGTCCTTGTGCAAGACTTTTCTGGGTCTCTCCTTTCTAGGATGATTTCTTGAAAGCAACTTTTGCAGACTACATTGGTTGACTGGATGATTGATTAATTCACTCATTTTATTCATTTGGGCACCATCCTAGGTACAAGGGATTCTACCACTGAGTAAGGTAGACATGGTCCTTGCCATCAAGGAGGTGACAGTCTAGAGCTGCAATGTCCAATATGGTAGCCACTAACTCTAGGTGGCTATTTAAATTTAAACTTAAATTATGTAATTTTTATATGAAATCATTTCTATAGTATAATATGTAGTATAAAATATAATTTGTAAATAAAATACATGGAATTTGAAAAATCAGTTTCTCAGTTGCACTGACGACATTTCAGCTGCTTAAGAGCTACATGTTGGGGGCATGCCTGGGTGGCTCAGCTGGCTAAGCATTTGACTCTTGACTTCGGCTCAAGTCATGATCTCACAGACTGCACCCCTGCGTTGTCAAGCTGCATGCTCAACAGCACAGAGCCTGCTTGGGATTCTCTCTCTCTCTCTCTCTCTCTCTCTCTTTCTGACAACTGCCCCCCCCAATAAATAAATTTAAAAACTTAAAAAAATAGCTACATCTGGCTAGTGGCTACCATATTGAACAACACTGGTCTAGTGCTAGGAGAGGCAGATCTTGAATACATCTTGTACAATTATTATGAGAGATGTCTTTTTAAAATTTTTCTAATGTTTATTTTATTTTTGAGAGATAGAGAAAGAGTGTGAGCAGGGGAGGGGCAGAGAGAGACACAGAATCGAAAGCAGGCTTCAGGCTCTGAGCTGTCAGCACAGGCAAAGGGCTTGAACCCACAAACCATGAGATCATGACCTGAGCTGGAGTCCGATGCTTAATTGACTGAACTACCCAGGTGCCCCCAATTATGAGAATTGTCTTAAGGACAAGTGCAGAGTGCACTGAGACTAGTGCTAGATGGGGGAGATGCAGGACCAGTGAAGGTTTCCTTGTGGATGTGACATTGCAGTTGAGCCCCCAGAAATGTGTAGGGACTGTCCAAGGAAGATATTGGGATGAAGAGTATTTTGGACAAAGGGAACTGTGTAAGCAAAAGCACCACAGTGGAAAAAAGTGTTGTGTCTCAAAATCAAGCCAATGGAGGGAGCATAATAAACTAGTGGCTTGAGGGAGACTGCGGAGGATGGCAGGGACCAGGCCATACAGGGCCCTGTAGTATGTGACGGTGAGTTGGAACTTCATCCTGTGTTTGCTCAACTCACTTTCTCTCCCTCTTCTTTCTTACAAACTTTGTCTTTAAGATTAAACTCAAGTCCATTACCTCAATGAATCTTCCACTGATTTCTCCTGAACTTCAGCACCAGCAGGAGTGAAAGTGTGGGCTGTGAGGTGGGCAGATCTGGGTTCAAACATCTGGGTGGCCTTGGGCCAGTGATTTCATCTCCCAAAGGCTGGGTGTTCCTCTATAAAGTCAGGATAATGGCAGTATCTGCAGGGCAAGGCTGTTGTGAGTGACATTCAGAACAGTCCTCACTGGGAATCTCTTAGCACAATGCCTGGCTCCAAGTAAGGGCTCAGTGAATAGTGCTGGCATTATCTGTCTTCCTTCACTCTAGATTTGTTTCCCTTATCCTCCAACATCACCGGGAAGCCTTTTTCAGAACACTAAGAAAATGCTCCCCAAAGGGGGAAATTCCTGAACAAGGAGGAGAGATGGGGGTTCATTATCACTCACTTCAGGCAAAAAGCAGAGAGTTGTTTTAATAGCCTAGGGATCCTCAAGGTCAAAGCAGAAAAACCTTTTAAAACCTCAAGCTCAAAGCTACTCACACCCCATCATTTCAAACACATGCCAGCTGGCCTCACCTCTAGGGGATATGTGTTTTAGTGACTTAAGGGGGACAATCTGGAGGCCAAAGAAAGAATGTCTCCTTGCAAAGAGGCCATTGCTTGAGTGATCTTAGGTTTTAGGGAGGATTGTCCCAGGGTCGGCTGGCCCAGAGAGTGGCATTACAGCCCCAGTCAATCTCTTCTCTGTCTTAAAGAATTATGCAGATCTGTCTGTAAGTCACTGCATGATCTTAGGCAATGTATTTCATTTCCTGAGACCTAAGGGGTGCCTGGGCCACCTTTAAGAGGCATTCTTAGCTTTAAGATTCTAAGCTCCCTAGGTGGGTGCCTTGTACCATCCTGGCTTTTTGAAATTATTCTGTGATAATTATTAATTATGTCTCTCTCACTCCATGGTACATGGTTTCTCAACTTTGACATTATTCACATTTCAGACCAGATGGTACCTTGTGGGGTGGGGCTGGGGGGGAGATGGCTTTGCATTATAGGATGTTTGGCAGCATCCCTGGCATCTACCCACTAAATGTCACAACCCAAGTTGTGACAATCAAAAATGTCTCCAGACATTGCCAATGTCCTCTAAGAGATTAAATCGTGCCCCCATTGAGAACCACTGCTCTAGAGTGTTTTAGTTTAGGTAATAAATTATTCAGTCTCTCTATTCCTAGAGCATCTTTGGGTCTCTCTTCCAGCCTTATTTCTCTGACCTTAGTCCAGTCAGGACCCCAGTACATGTTCTACCAGCAACATATGCACCTTCTCCATCCTCAGTATCCCTTTGGTAAAATACTGTAAGGTCCATGAGGACAAGAGCTCAGTCTGACACACAGAAAGTCCTTGCAACATGCTTGTTGAATGAATGAATGAATGAATGAGTCAGTTACAAAGACAAACTACCTGGAAAGTTGTAGCACAGATATCTGCTCCCTGCCGCCCATCCACTGAGGCCATGGCACAGAATAATCAAGTGTGAGGGCTCTCTACTCAAGCAGAACTGGATTCAAATCCTTTGAATCCACTTTCCTACTAAATTGGAAGGCCATCTTTTCTTCTCCAGGCCTCAGTTTCAAGTCCTTAGTAGAGCTACCAGCACAGAGTAAGGGCTAAGTAAATGTTAACTGCTATTTATTGTGATTGTTGCCTTTTGTCCAGAGTATAAGCTAGTGGTCCACTACCCAGGGAACAAGGTCAGTGCTATTCAGGTTGATGGAGGTGATAGGAAAATACAGAGAAATAAAATCCACAGAGAACTAAAAATTCTTTTAATTATGGACTTCTAGAGATTCAGGAATGGAAGGGATCTTAAAGGCCATTGTATCCAACCCCTTATACCTTATCTCCCCAGTCCAGGGCAGGAGGACATCAAGTGGTGGCGTTCAAACATCTGTGGCCACCATCAATGGTTTATTAAAATTCAGATCCCTGGGCTCTATTCTGCAGAGATGTCCAAGCATTAAATCAGGAGAATGGCCCAGGAATTGGCATTTTAATCAGTTCCCTGGGGGTGTTCTTGGCCTCAGAGAAGCATCAGCTAATTGGTTAAGACTACGGGCTGTGGAACTACTCTGGCCAGGGACTGTAGTATACTGTATACTCTCTAGGGATCCTGAGACAATTGATATAATGTCCCTGAGCTTCTATTTACTTGTCTATAAATTGGGGATATTAATAACACCTCCTTCCCAGCCTATAAATTGGGGATATTAATAACACCTCCTTCCCAGGGTTGTTGAAGAGATTATATAAGATAGTAAGTATATACAGCATTTAGGCATGCTGAAATGCTGGATATTGATTAAATATCATTACCCTTGGGTTTACTCAGATGGATACCCACCCACCTCTCCTAGACCATCTCTCATAAAGGAGAGCCCACTGCCTCCGAAAGCAGCCTGTTTCATCTCTGTACTTCTTTGCCTAAGGCGGCTCCCCGTACTGTGTTGAAATCTGCTTCCCTCTCCTCTCTATCCAGAAGCTCAAGCTCTGGGCTGAGGGTCCAGGTTGAAAGAGCACCATCTTTCACTTGCCTAAACTTCAAATATTTGAGGACAGAGGTCCGGACCCTGAAAAGACGCTTCCCAAATCACACGGATCAGGGAGTGCCCAGGTCTTATCTTGAAGGAAACAAAAACCAGGTCCATTTTTTAAGTGACCTTGGCAGTTTCCATTGCTCCAGGTCCACAGTATCTAATCCCACTTGCCAATAGGTCTCAGATTCCTAAGAAGCCCCAGTGTAACGCTGCTGAGCACCTGGGACAAAACCCAGGGATGCTGGTCATCAGTGTTGCCGACTGAATTCCCCAAACAAGTGGGCACTTGTTATGCATTGTAGATGGGTCTCTCAGGGAAGGGGTCTTGCTCTACTCATAAATGTGTGTGTGTGGGGGAGGGGTAAGTGGGGAGGATAAATAACAAAAGCTTCCCCCACCCCCTCCTTCCCTGGTTTAGTCCCCCTAATCCAAGCCATCATCACCTCTCACATAGCCAACCACACAGCCACCTCCACTGTCTCCCTGCTTTCTTTCTTGCCATCTTTCTGTTAAACATGCTTTTATTTTTTATATTCTAGTATTTTGGCCTCTTGGGGCCTTGCTGATCCTGGAGGGATTAGTCCCTTCCAGAATTAACTAGTAATGACTCACCTGCCAGTGCACTTTTTGTAAACAAAGTAACCAGTCCAGAGCCACTATCCACCTGTCCTAATTACCAACTACCAGGCAGCCCCTGTGCCCCAGAACCTGCTGAAATTATTCACACTGGCCAATCAGCCTGTTTGTCCTGCTTCGCTGATTCCTTCTTGTGGAAACCAGGATAAGGGCTCTTGCCCACCTTTGCCCCTCACCCTCTCTGCCTTTTTTTTTTTTTATGTTTTATTTATTTCTGAGAGAGAGAGAGACAGTGTGAACAGGGGAGGATCAGAGAGAGAGGGAGTCACAGAATCTGAAACAGGCTCCAGGCTCTGAGCTAGCTGTCAGCACAGAGCCAGAAGTGGGGCTCGAACCCACGAAACCTGAGATCATGACCTGAGCCGAAGTCAGACGCTCAACCAACTGAGCCACCCAGGCGCCCCACCCTCTCTGCCTTTTTACCAACTCAGGAGCGTCCCCATACGGCACCTGAGGTGTGACAGGCTCCCCCTCTTACGATCCGGGAGTAGAACAGAGTGTATTCTTTACCAGCAGCTGTCTCCTGGGCCATTGGTCTTGCTATATCTAAATAATATTATAACCTGCATTTTAAACCACTCTCCACAGTCTGTTCTTCCTCTTGTTGAAACATGTGCCTGAGCGATTTTCTCAGAACTCAACTCTGATCATCTTCTACTCTCTTGCCTGCTTGAAAACCTTTCAATGGCATCCCCTGGGTCTTGGGATAATGTGGGAAATCCTCACTGTGGTGTCCAGAGCTCTGCACGACCCAGCCTGTCTCTCTGACCTCCATGCCTTCGTCCTGCCTCCGGGCCTTTGCACCAGCCATTCTCCCTGCTCTCTCTCCATCTGTGCCCAACTCTCCTTACCCTCTTGATCTCAGCCTCCTTAGGGAAGTCTATTCCGGACTCCTCCTTCCTCTGGTGGTTCTTTATCTTCAAACTTCTTTCCTTTCCTTCTCAAGATCCATTCTTTGGCAAATGTATTACAATTTCTTTGTTTACCGTCTCCCCAAGTAGAGCACCCCCATCTTGAGGGCAGGGACCACATCTATTTTGTCCCCTTTGACCTCCCAGCACCAGGCACACAGTCAGCACTCAGTAAACACCAAAATACTGAATGACTGTGCCAGTCTGTGCGAGACACTCTTGTCTATATTGACTCTTTTCATCTCCTTGGCAAACCCTGTGAGGTGGGAATTACCATCTCCATCCACTCAGGGAGACAACCAAGACTCAGAGAGGAAAAGTAACCTCCCCTGGGTCACACAGCAACTGAGTGGCATGGACAAGGAATCCAAACACAGGTCAGTCTGTTTGCCAGAGCTGGGCCCTCTTCTTCCTTAGGACAGACATGTCTCTTCAGGGCGGGATGCTATCTGCCGCTAGCTGTAAGCTTCCTTCTCGGTCTGGTAGACCCATTAACTCAGGGGATTAAAGTCCAGAATCTCAGAGAAGAAGAGAACAAACTTCCTTATCTAAAATACCCTAACCAAGTCTCAGACCCTAATTTAAGGAACTGGAGTGAATTACATGATGGTGCAAATAAGATCTTTGACAGTCATTTCCTCAAGCTCTTGTCTTCTTTAAATAGCAAAATTATGTGAAATAAATGTTCCCTGCTATTTTGGTAAATTACATGCTGTAATTTACACAACAAATGCCAAGAAATTTGTGAGCCAACCCGTTTCCAAGCTCTCATACATTTAACATATGTCACTGCGATTTTCTTTATCTTTCCTATCACATTTTTCCCCCTTGGGAAGTCTTGCCTCAGATAGTTGATAAATACTTTTAGGAACCCAACTGAATCAAAATGTGGTCTGGCTTTCTGAGAGTAATTTGTCACAGGTCAAAGGTCTCTCTTTAGGTCTGTCTTAAAACAAGTTTTCATAAATAAAGTGCGCTGGCTTCTTGGGGTGTGCCAGAGTGGGAACGTGAGCAGATCCTGGTTGAAAACCGTGGGGCGCTCAGTCACTTTCTCAAGCTCATGTGGAACAAGGGTCAGTGTACTCTGAGCTCTGGCAGAAAGGTGACCCGAGCGGGGCCAGGTGGAGGGAAGGTAGCATTTACTCAGTGCCCGTGCTTTTCCCGTTCCTTCATCAAGCTCAGTTAACCTTTATAGCGGTACTGCAAGCCCATTATCATTCCCATTCCACAGATGAAAGTGTCTGTACCATGCTTTCCAGGTGCCACGTGATCAACAAGAGCTCTGTAAATAATCGCTGCTGTTATTTATATTATGAAAGTAATAGATGTGCAGGTTTAAAATTGCAAACATTACAGAAAGGTCCAAAATGAAAAGGAGGAAAATGTCCTTCCCATCCAGAAAGTCCCCATTTCCATGCGGTCCTTCTTCCCAGAAGCAACCAGTCTGTGATCTCTTATGTACCCTTCCAGAAGGTCTAGGACAGTGGAAGCGTACTCTCTAGTGTCGCTTCTCACACTTAAAGGTGCACACAAATTGTCTGGGGACCTGGTTAAAATGCAGATGCTGATTCAGTAGCTCCGGGGGTCAGGGCCTGAGACTTGGAATTTCTAACAAGCTTCTAGGGGATGCTGGGGCCCCTGGTTCAGGACCACATTTAAATCTTGGTAGCAAAGGACGCAAGTCACATGACCATATTCTAACCTGTTTAGTAATGAGCCCTGACACTCTTTTCCTGTTGGCTCTTAGAGATCAACTTGTGTGTGCATGTGTCTGTGTATGCACGTATGTGTGCATGTGTGTTTATTGTGGTAAAATAGACATAAGATAAAATTTGCCATTTCGACAATTTTAAGCGTGCAGTTAGCGGCATTAAGTACATTCATGCTGTTATGCAACCAACACTACCATCCAGAACATTGTCATCCTCCCCAGCTGAAATTCTGTCCCCATTAAACACCAACTCCCCTCCCCCCAGCCCCTGGCAACTGCTATTTTACCTTCTCTGCTTGTGATTTTGACTATTCTAGCCCCCCGCATATAAGCAGACTCATGCAATATTTGTCTTTTCGTGCCAGGCTTATTTCATGTAGCATAATATCTTCAGAGGCCATCTGTGTTGTAACATGTGTCAGAATTTCCTCTTTTTTGTTTAAGGCTGAATAATACTCATTGTGTGTCCAGACCACACTCTCCTTATCTGTTCATCCATCGATGGAGCCTTGGACTGTTGTGATATGACGATAGGGATCAACAAACAAAGTTTTTTAAACATTCTTTTAAGTGGATGCACCATAATCTATGTAATTACTCCTCTCCTGATGATTGCTGCAAACAACGTGCTAGCACCAGAAGAGAATATAGCAGAGTGGCCGGGAGTGGGGACTCTGAAGTCAGATGGCTTTGCCAAAGTCTGGCTTAAACACCTGTTGGGTGACCTTAATGCAGCTCCTGGCCCCTCTGGGCTTGACTGTCCCCATCTGTAAAATGGGGTTAGTGACAGTGAAGGTTACATAAGGTAATCAATGCAGAGCACAGGCACGGGAGCTAACAACCCCTATCAGCCGTTGTTTGTGTTGTAAGCCATTGCCTACTTATGTCTGTCCCTGCAGTGAACTACCAGCGGCACAATTCTGTGTGGGAGCACAGAGCACTTAAAATTTTGAAAGCTATCACAGATTACCTTCCCCAGAGTTACAGTGGTCCCTGTTAGTCACAGAAAGAAGTGTGGAACCCTGGATGGCCCTTGAAGAGAGGATGAGATACGAGCAGGATTCAGGAGATTGTCAGGCTGTGTAGTCATTCCTCCTGCGATGTTACCTCAGAGTCAAGGGTGAACCATTGATGTTCTCGCTTCATCCCTGAAAATGAGGTGATGATGCATGTAAATGTCCGTTTTCTTCCCTCTTCTAATACTCCTCTACATTCCTATCTCCCATGAATACCTGGGGGGCTGTTTATGTGTCTGATGTGGGGGTTGCTTCTTGGGGACAGGAAGTCCCACTTATTTGAAATTCCTTCCTATTTAATACCACCCCTTACTCAGAGGGTTGTAGAGTTGAAACATCACCACTCCCCCCCAAGTTAGCCTTTCAAAGATTTCTTTTTTATTTTTTAACATTTATTTATTTTTGTGAGAGAGACAGAGTGAGAGGGGGGAGGGGCAGAGAGAGAGGGAGACACAGAGTCGGAAGCAGGCTCCAGGCTCTGAGCTGTCAGCACAGAGCCAGATGCGGGGCTTGAATCCATGAATGGTAAGATCATAACCAGAGCTGAAGTCAGACACTTAACCGACTAAGCCTCCCAGGTGCCCCCAAGGCATTTAAAAAATATTTATTTACTTGTTTTGAGAGAGAGACAGAGAGAGAGCACAAGCAGGGGAGGGGCAGAGAGAGAGGGAGAGAGAGAATCCCAAGCAGGCTCCTAGCTGGCAGCATGGAGTCCGACATGGGGCTCGAACTCACGAACCATGAGATCATGACCTGAGCCAAAAGCAAGAGTCCGACCCTTAACTGACTGAGTCACTAGAGGCCCCTCATGGCTCTTATCTGTAGCATTTCTCACAATGTGCAAGACAGCTGTATAACGATGTGCACACACATGCACACACACACCTTTTTAAATGCCCGCCTCCCTCCCCAGCAGTAGACTATGAGCCCTGCAGGAAGGAACCTAAGCCTGTTTAGCTTACTTTTGAAATCCCAGTAGTATTTTTGGACTTGCTACAAGGCAGGTGCTCAATAAATGTTGAATAAATGAATAAATGGATTCCAGTAACATCTGCGGCAGTATTAAGGGTTGAGGTTTGGGGTGGTTGTTTGTTTGTTTGTTGGATGGTGAAATATACACAACACCAAATTTGCAATTTGTCATTTTGATTATTTTTAAGTGCACATACATTCACCTTATTGTGCAACCACACCGTCATCTGTCTCCAGGACTATTCTATCTCTTCAAACCGCAACTCCGACCCCCTTAAACACAAGCCCTCCATTCCTTCCCCCCCCCCAGCCCCTGGAGATCGCTCTTCTACTTTGTCTCTGTGACATTGAATATTCTAAGTATCTCAAAAGTGGAATCATGACATTTTTGTCATTTTGCGACCAGTATATTTCACTTAGCGTGATGTTTTCAAGGTTCGTCCATGTTGTAGCATGTATCAGTGCTCCAATCCTTTATAAGACTGAGTAGCATTCCATTGTGTGGTGGACCACATTTTGTTCATCCATCCATTTACCAGCTGATGGACACCCGGGATGCTCCCACCTCTTGGGCGATCATGACTAACGTGGCAGTGAACTCGGCGTATATTCACAATGGCATACAACAGTCACCTCTATCTGGCTCCAGGGAATTTCCACCACCCCAAAAGGAAACCCTGTACCATTAGGTAGTCACTCCCCATTCCCTCACCACTCCCAGACCCTGGCAACCACTAATCCGCTTCCTGTCTCTATGCATTGGCCCATTCTGGATACTCCCCATAAATG